TAAATCAACGTGTCAAACAAATATGTACCCATGTGCAAGGATTCACATGCATATATATCTACAGCACAAGCAGTTGCACGCACACACAGTCAATAACACCGGGGTACCGCAGCTCGTCAGTGACCACAATGTCCTGACTTTGTCGAGGGCCCTGAGTTTACCATGTCTCCTAAACAGCATATGAAAGCATAATGAACGGATGACAGGACTAACTACTCTGACATCCAAGCTGCTTCACCAGCGTTTTCATCCCCTGGCCTTTTCATTTAGCACCCATCACTTCCCATTATTGTGCAACTGAGAGACAATGACCACATCTGAGAGCTGAGGATGGAGCTACATGAAAGAGGCCGAGGGAGTTGAACCGACAGTCATGTGGTTGGCACTGTCACTGCACACACTCGGGTTCCTCCTCCGCATCGCTCCTCCCATTTTTTCGTTTCTGGACGTTTTTTTTTTCTTTTTTCTTTCTTCCAAGTAGATCATTATTCTGTTTTCTCTGAGGCGAGGCCTGTTTGTGCCTATCTGAAGCTTTCCTTCTAACTGTTGGAGTCAGTCTTTCATAAAGAGAAAGCATAATTATTTCACCATTTATGTCGCCGTGTCAGCCGTCTGGACGCACACATACACGGCTGTGTCCTCCATCCCATCATGGCCCCAGAGTCCCGTCCGTCATGCAGGCCCCTGAGGCCGACGCTAACTAAGACCACCACATAAATATTCAAACATGTTCCACAGTTTTGCCTCGCTATCATCACTTTACATCTATTTTCTCAATGCTCTCTAACTCAATCCATCCACCCGTCCAGAATGTTGCCTCAGAGTTAAACCGGGAGCGAGCGTATGACTAAATCTTGTACATTCCAATCAGGGAGAATGGCAAGATCAAAATGCTGAGCTTCTCTGACCCACTGAAAGGGCCCCTGACTGACGGCATCATGTATAAATAAACAAAAAAAATGTAATTAAGATATTTTGGAGAGGGTGGGGGTAAAAAAAATCAATATTTTTGAGAGAAAAAGCACGGCCTTGGAACACTTCACCCGCGCTTGTTTAAGTCGTCGTGTTTAGACGTGGAGAAAAAAGAGCTTGCAAACATTTCTGTTAATTATGTATTACAGCTGTCCTTCATAAACCTAATTACAGAGTGCTGAAAGGCAACAGGGGCAATTTGCATATGCGCATGAAAGACAAGACATATGCAAAATATGATTTTAATTAGCATTCTTTGATAGCAAGGGGTACAAATCAAACTGGCATGTTGTGAGATTCTCATCTCGCCCATTTTTTACTGGATTATTCTCAGAGTGGCACGAGTGCAAGATGGGTAATGCCCTGTGGAGGCACCTGGCACAGGCTGCGTGCATGCACACACACATGCACACACATAAATGGGTGTTAATATTCACAGAAATGCACAATAACAACAAGCACAACCGCAAATAACCATACAAAATGGAAAAATATAAATTCCCACTATGCACTAAAATGGTAATGATAACACTGACAATTAGCAATTCACCGTATGATTATCTAATACACCACAATACCATAATCTTGATATAAAATGCAGGCAGCATTCACACACACATACACTGATTTAAATTCAGACAAATGACAGTCCTTACTCACAAAAACAGACATCCACAAGTACCCAATCTCTCATGCAAACACGCACACACCAACACACAGAAAGATCCCATATCTAAATGTTAAAGGGGCAAATCCATTTGTTTAAGGCAGTGTGTAATCAGCCCCCTGCCCTTGGTGTGTGTGCATCCTCTGCCATCCAGGTCAAGGCCTCAGCTTGTCGTCCTGCTGCCTTGGGCTGCATCATCAGCCCGAACCATCAGCCTTGATGGTTATTGTAACAAAGGGATACTTTAACATGCCATTCATCCATATCAATTCTCTTCCCCCCCATGAATTGAACTAATAAGGCTGTGCCTCTGCCCTCCAGGGAGGCTCATAATATCCATTGCAGATATGAAAAAAAAAAGAAAAAGAAAAAGAAAGACAGAGGCTCGGGTGTTTCACGTTCGACTTTCCCTTCAGACTAATCGGCGCGCCACAGCTCGTTAGGTCCGTGACGTGCCGGAGCTTTACCGATAAGCAGGGGAGACACGGCTCAATTACCCACAGTTACAATCTTTCTCTCTCTCATCCCTCCCGCCGCCTGATGATGAAGAGATAACATGTCAATATTTGATACAAACAACTTCATTTGCCTAATGGTGTTCCTGGATAGGCCCGTCTACAGGTCCAGAAGGGATGTGAGATCTAAGAAAAGGCCTGGAGCAACACTCGGCTTAGACGTACCATAGCCCGCCACCCCTCAAATCACACACACCCGTTCCCGAGAGCTGTGCACAAGGCATGCTGGGATAGAGCCAGGTCAGACATGACACACTTTGCCAACTTTTGCTCAAGTTACTTTCAGACGGTTTCTTCAGGTTTGGACAATCAACCTTGAAAGGAAAAAAAGAGGACACTTAATTCTGACATCTCCGCGCTCATAATGTTGCCTTAAAAAATGGCATGTCTGGGAATGTTTCACTTTTGTCACCAAGCAATGTGAATCTGTGTGGTAGGAAGCACTTTACACAGGTAATGAAGGACTGTCAGACAGCTTCTGGTTCGACATCAAATGGGTACTACGGTCAATGTCTCCCATTAATGACAGTGCATGGACACAATAACACATCCCTTTGTATGTGACTGTTCATTTTCAGTCTGTCATTTCACTTCTAAACTGGTGCATTACTAATAGCAAACTTACTATCTCCAAGATGCTACAACAAACGACCAGAAGACAAAATGAGAACAAAGGCAGTACACACACATATATATATATA